AAGATGCCCAAGACCAAGAAGGCGGCCAAAGATGACAAGGAGACAGATGATCAAGATGAGAAGGAACAGAATGCAAAGAAGATGCCGGAAACCAACGGTAATGAACCGGAGGATGAAGAAGAGGAGGAGGAGGAGGAAGAGAAGGCAAAGAAGATGTCCAAGACCAATAAAACGGCCAAAGATCACGAGACAAAGAATGAAGAGGAGAAGGAAGAGAAGGCAATAATTCCCAAGAACAAGAAGGCAGTCAAAGATCACAAGGAGCTAGAGGATGAAGCAGAGGAGAACGATCAAATGTCATCAAAGAAGAGGCACAAGAAACAACGGGCGACCAACGAACACGATGAAGAGGAAAAGAACGTGAAGGCAGCCCAAACCAAGACCAAGAAGGCAGCCAAAGATTCAGTCAACGATCATAAGAAGAGCGAGAGGATGAAGAAGAGAAGGAAGAGACGATGCCCAAGACCAAGAAGGTGGCCAAAGATCATGAGAAGGAAGAGAAGCCGAAGGATACGGAGTCGAAGGGTGAAAAGGACCACTGGAAATGGTTTTTGGAAATGGCAAAGTTTGATGCCAAAACTTACCATGACTTGATGAAGGCCAGGCTGGCGATGCAAAATGATGAGGAGGGAGAAGAAAAGAAGGAGGCGCAGGAGGATCAGGAGGAGGAAGCCACAAAGGGCAAAAAGAGACAGAGGCGTCAGAACCAAGAGGCTAGGAAAAAAACCAAAGACGCACGAAAGGGAGAGGATGCCGATGAGATGGAAGAGCTACCGAACAAGGCTACGTCGGCCAAGGAGAACGACAATAAAAGGAAGCGAAAGGCAAAGCGGACTGAGGAGGTGGAAACGAAGAAGAGCAAAGAAGAAGATGATGCCGAAAGCCAGGATCAGGAAGGATCTAAGAAAGGTGTGAAGGCAAGGCGACCGAATGATTTCTTTTCTCCAACTAAATAAGTTGGCATTAGATTCAAACAATTTAAAGAATTCAACAATGATTGGTATGCCTGCGGTTTCCTCATCTTGGGCATGTAGGTCAACTAAGTTCATAAGTTGGCATTAGATTCAAAGGCTTATGGACTTATGGGTGAGAAATCAATGTTTTGTCATTTGATTCGTCTGGAGGCAAAGCCTGGGTGCAAAGGCCGTGTGGGCCTACGCGATGTGTTTTGGAAGCACATCAACGAAGCCAAGGATCGATTGAGGGAAGAGGATCCCAGTTTGACCAAAACACAAGCTCTTGATTTGGCCCGCCAACAGCCCAGCCCCCAGTACACACCGTTTTGTCTCACCCTTTGGATTCCTGTAGTACCTTCGTATCACTGCTGATTGTTTGCACGACGACTTGAAAGTCAATATAATGCTGACATTCTTTATGTTTAACTTTCCCGCTGTTGAGGTGGAAGCATCACCCAGAACGAGTGGCAAGCATGCGGACCATGTCGAACAGCGAGCTGAGCCGCCGCCGTTTGCCTAAACCCCCAGCCCCACTCCCAGAACCTGCGGCCATTGAGGACGAGCCAATTACAAAATCTCCTAGCTTGGAAAATCATTCCGAGTGATTTGGTGAAAAACACCGTAGCATGCAGCATCTACCCTTGACACTCAGGGGAATGAGTGTTTCTTGCTGTTTGCTTGCAACAACACCATGCGGTGTGACCCGGTGTGCAAAAAAGATGCTCACCACAAGACCTCCAGTCGAATTGTCATGTTCTCAACCATCTCAACTATCAACTTGACTTCAACACCGGGTGTTGAAATCCCTGCATGCCAGGAGAGCTTGCCAAGACTATGGTTTGCACCTGGACATCCGACCAGAACCAAATAGTCCTGGAGGTGCCAGATACCAATGGCAACACCAAGGCCACCTCAGATTCCGACCGGTGCAGCTGGGCACAACTGCTGAGAGAAATGGAGGAAGCTGGTCATACAGATCCCACGATAAACAGCCACGACTTGCTGAGCCCGGTCACAGATGGAGGTAAGCGCTTATTATGTCATTGTTTATGGTCAGAAATATATGCAATTATTTGTCGTGCGATCAATTGTAAGTGGGTGTTGGTCAGGAGCTCAGCGCTACATCATAAAGCCGAAGCCCACCCCCATCTATTTCAACTATGCTTCCATCACCTCCGGCTTCAAGTACACAAATTGTGCCAGTGCATTCACTGCCGAGGCCCCTGGAGTTGGTGCAAGTATTGGTTCTTTTGCGGATTCGCTACTAAAAGTACTAACTTCATTTGGTAGCGTTTGGTAGTCAGTATGACGACCAACGAAAAGGGACTAGCATGGTCTAGAAACAACGGGTGAAGTGATATCTGAATCAAACGACGGGTTAACTGCAATCTAGTGTTGGACCCTTTTGTTGTCTTTGAATTTACAAGAATCGGAGCCCGGCAAACATTGTGCGATGCCAGGCACCCTCATCGGAACCTCAATTGTGAGGTCGGTACAACCATCATTGGCATCAATCATGATAACGAGCTTGGGTTTCCCGGGCGTCTTTGGACATGACCAACCAATCAACTGGGTTCGAGGTTTGTTGGATGCTGATTACTATCCAAATACTAATTTTAATGTGAACACAATGAATACTATGGATGATGGTGGTTTCTCTAAAACTCTAGTACTAGGCGTCTGAGGTCAAGTGAAACCGGTCAGATCTGTTCTGATTTTTCTTGAGGAGCTGGGTGCCAGCAAAGTCCTTGACAGGGTTTGGCGGGTGTTCTACCAAAAGGAATCCAACGCCTCTTAGCTGCCTTTAGCTTAACTCGGCCAACCCATTCCAAGACCCACCCAGCCGAGCGACATCTAAGGAGATCTCGCCACGCAGCTTGGCTAAGGATCCATGTGGTGTTATGTCAGGTTATGTGAGCTCTGGCTTCATAGTGAGGTTTTCAGGTTTGTTATGTGATTATGTTATCCAAGGTAAGCCACTATACTTTATGTATTCTGATCTTGAGTTGCCTTCTGGTGGAGTGATGCGACTTGTGTGATGCCCGATGTAGACTGCCTGGGCGTGGCTTCTTTCCAGTATATGATCCCAAGATGTTTAAATCTGATGGATTCTCGTGTTTTCACACTCAGATACTAATATGTATATGATCCCATGATGTTTAAATCTGATGGATTCTCGTGTTTTCACGATGTTTTATTGAGAACTCCGGTTGGAAAAGCCTGCCCAAGAGTAGTCTCGAGATTGAGTTGCATTGACTGGCCGGTTGTTGGTTCTTTCAATGACGCGGGTTTGATTATCTTTCAATAATACTGGAATCAAGCGTGTTTGCCAGAATATGGGATCTCTGCTGGCTGCCAGTCGTTTTGAAAACATCTCAAGATGACCCTGACTACCCTCAAGAGAGAGGAAAAGGCGATGCCGTGCGGAAGCTGTCAGCAAACGATTCAACATTATGTTGAATCTGAGGTGGTTTGGATCGGCGTTAACAATAAAACCTTGGACTCCTGAACATTTTGAATCAACTCCTGATTGTAATGAAATCTCCTTATAGACAAAGTCAGAGTTGCAGATGATCGGTCGGCATTGCATTTGGCAGCTTTGCATAATCACGTTGGGATTGTGCAGCTACTGCTTTACGCCCATGCAAACCACGAGGCGATCACCACCAATGGCAACACAGCACTCTTGTTAGCAACATTCAGTGGCTATTTAGAAGTTGTCCAATTGCTTCTCCCAGCATATGCGAACCAGAGGGTTCAGCTGACGGTAGCTTTGTACAAGGCAGTTTTGCAGAACCACATCGAAGTTGCGCGGCTGTTGCTGGAATTCCGAGCAGACGCAGACAATGTCATTGTTAATGGGCAGTATGTGTTGCATGTGGCAGTGGATAAAGGTCACGTGGAGACAGTCCGTTTGCTTCTCCAGGCCAATGCTGACAAAGACAAAGTCAGCAAGGATGGCACAGCAGCCTTGCATTTAGCCATTGCCAATGGCCATCCCAAAGTTGTCAAGATGCTTCTTGATGCAGGCGCGAAGCAAGACCAGGCCAAGAAAGATGGGACAACAGCTTTGCACTTGGCAGCTGCCAGTGGCGACATTGACGTTGTACAGCAGTTGCTCGCGCTTGGAGCAAACCCAAGAATGTTTGCAGTTGGTCATGGAACAGCTCTGCATTTGGCAGCCGAAAATGGTCACTTCCAAGTTGTCAGGCTCCTGCTCCAGGCAAAGGCTGACAAAGACGAGGTCAGGGTTGATGGGACATCTGCTTAATACTAGCCAATGAAAATGGCTATCCCAAGATTGTGAGATTGTTGCTGGAATTTGGTGCAAACACAGACTCTGCGAGATCAGATAATGGTAAAACAGTTCTGCATTTGGCAGCTTTCAAGCGGGATATAGAATTTGTGAAGGTGTTGCTTTGTGCCAAGGCCAATACAGATATGGCTGATATGTTCGGCTTCGCAGCTTTGCATGTGTCAGCTCAAATTGGCTGCCCAGCAGTTACTCTGAAGCTACTGAATGCAAGGGCAGATACCAACAAGTGTGCTTATGATAGAACAACAGCCCTGCATTTGGCAGCCGAAAATGGTCACTTGCAAGTTGTCCGGCTCCTGCTCCAGGCCAAGGCTGACAAAGACAAGGTAAGGTCCGATGGGGCATCGGCTTTGTATTTAGCCAATGAACATGGCCATCCCAAGATTGTGACATTGTTGCTGGAATTTGGTGCAAACACAGACTCTGCGAGATCAGATAATGGTAAAACACTTCTGCATTTGGCAGTGTCGAAACGGTATACTGAAGTTGTGGAGATGTTACTGCAGAGGAAGGCCAACACAGACATGGCTGATACTGACGGTTTGACAGTTTTGCATGTGGCAGCTCAACTTGGTGGCCTACGAGTTGCACAGATGTTGCTCAATGCAAGGGCAGATATAGACCAGATGACTCATGATGGGGCAACAGCTCTACATTTAGCAAGTGCACATGGACATCCCAAATTTGTCAAAATGCTTCTCGATGGAGGGGCGAAGAAAGACATCGCAATGAAGAACGGGACGACGGCTTGGCACTTGGCTGCGTCAAGTGGCCACATTGAAGTTTTGCACTGGCTACTGCTGTTTGAGGTAGACACAGACAAGATTAGACTGGATGATGGCTACACTGCTTTGCACCTAGCAACCACAAATAATCATCCAGAGGTTGTGAGACTGCTGTTGGCATTTGGAGCCGACCAGGACCAGAACACACGACATGGAGAATCTGCCCTGAATCTTGCAAGTGACCGGAACCATTTGGAAGTTCTGCAGCTATTGCTGACGGCAGGCGCCAACACAACAAAGTCTTTGCATTTTGCAGCTGAAAAGGGTCACCTTGAGGCTGTTGAGATGCTGCTGAAGGCTGGTGCAGACAGCAGCGAGACTCAAATGGAGAATGGGGCAACAGCCTTGCACGTTGCAGCTTTCCGTGGCCACCTTGACATTTTGCGGCTTTTGCTGGAACATGGGAGAGAGAAAGATGTTGCTATGAAGAATGGCGCAACTGCTTTGCACTTGGCAGCTTGCAAGGGTCACTTGGAAGTCGTGCAGCTCTTGTTGGACTTTGGAGCTGATGCAGAGAAGATCACAGCAGATGAGTTGACCGCCTCGCAAGTGGCAGCTGCCAGTGGCAACCACAGGTGCTGGTCCATTTTGGCATTCAGATCTGGACTGTGGACGGACGTCCAAGCCTAAGAGCCTCAAATGGATTAAAATGGGGGACTTGAGCGACCAGCTGGGCCCGTACATAAGGCATAGCAATGAGTGACCAGGTGTGGAAACCGTTGGGGGAATCCACTTCACTGGTTTCCGTATGACCTCATCTGACTCTCCTGAATTCCCTGATTTCCCTGCACCAATACAGCTCAGCAACCACACCCGGGGAGAAGCTTAAATGGCTGCGGGTCAAACGTTGACCTCCTTCGCAGTGGATTCGGTTCATTTCCTCTGGTCAGCCCAGGTAGCCCAGCGCCATGACCCACACCCAAATCTTTTGGGACCGGACTGTCGCAGTTTGGAGCGTTCATTGGTGGTTGCTGTACTGGTCCATGTACCATGGTCTGCCACTCTTTGATGAAAGAAAGCATTCACCAAGCAATACCCCACCTCCGAACCTGAGATGCTTCAGGCTGACAATAGTATAAAGATGCAAAGAAACCCCCTTCATCGGTTGTTGGGATGTTTCTCCGATTCCCCCCCACCCAATGGCTTTGGCGTGACGGGCGTGACGGGACGTGTAGCAGCTCAAACCTGGTTCGACCCATCGAACCGTTCGCCAGGGGCGAAGGTTTCAGGGCGTCTCGTGCATGTCAGTTTTGGAAGATGAAGTGGGGAAGTTTGGTGATCCGAACCCGGACATCCACGTGGTCTTGTGATCAGGAGTATGTCATAAATGCAAAAAGAACAATCACGCGTCTTGCGATGTTTATGGTCCTCCATTTCGATGAAATCATGCGTGTCACATGCGTGTCACTAGCGATTGTGTTGCCACCTTTTATTATCCGAAGCTGATTCTAACCTTTTGTGTTCTTTTGAGATCCTACAAAGCCCCAACAAAAGAACATACGGTCACCCGGTTGTTTTGTGATCATACCTTTTTTGAGATCCTACGGTTCACATATGTCACATACCGTATGTTCTTTTGAGACCAACAAAGCACTCTCCACTATTCATACGGTCACCTGGCAGTCATCTCCCAAGTCACGCCGAGCCGATCCATATATCGGAAGTGAGAAAGCGAAACCGGGCCACACGCAGCTTCAACTCAACAAGCCCCAAAAAGCACTCAGATCGTTTCGGCCGTTCATGTCATGGTTGTGCTTCGTTTTCTCCCTTTTCAGGTACCCGAGACCATGAACACCGTGGCGGTGGTCCTCCGAGGGGCTCAGGTGCCGCGGCGGTCCGTGGCCAACTCCCGGGTGGAAGAGAAAGGTTGAAAGAAAAGCCATGAACATATATCGAAATGGTTTTTTGAAGCTATGAGTGATTGAGTTTGATGGGAATAGCCGGAATAGCTCTTGAGTTGTATTTTGGTGTGATGCAATCTGCTGCACTCCTTCAGCAAAACCAAGATTTCAACGTCAATAGAACCGGAAGCTGAAATGTACTTGATGATCAAAAGACAGGAAGACACCCACTCAGTTTGAGCGCCATGGTTGGATGTCCCTTCATGGAAGCTGAGTACACTACATCCAAACTGTTGTTCGGTGCAGTTGGAAGGACTACCTGGGCTGCCCGGATGAAGGTAGTTGTGCCAAAGTGTGGCAAACGATTCTTTGCGTGTAAACTGGCTGTTTGGGAGGCCACAAGTTCAAATTGGCTGCTTGACCACTTAGGGGGCGTTTTAATGGTTGACGTGCAAGTGCACGAGTGGTATTCGAACACAGGCGCACCCCCCTTGCACATGGCCCTTTATGATGGCATATTATATTATATATACCAGCCAAGCTCACAAAAACCTAATGTTGTGCCTTTGATAAAATCCTGCATCAACTGAATGGTAGCTTGACCCTGGAACGTTAACTCATGTTTGTTTTCATGTTGAGATGTTGCCTGCCGGTTGAAATTTGGCCAAAATGTGGCTGCATGGCGTTTTCTGATATGTACAGAAACCACTATAGTGAGTACATCTGGTCCCCAAAATGGAGCAGTTTCACCGTTTGCAAGACGGAGATACACCGTATAAGACGCCCCTCCACTGTTCAACTGGTCTTGCGAAGCTTCAGCTTCAGAAAATGCATCCTGGAAACAGGCAGAAGCAATCGACTCAAACCCCTCGACTGGGACCGACTGGGGCATCTTTGTCTTGGACCGACTTGAACGGACCAGAACGGACCAGGTGGATGTGCCCTTGATTGCTTTGCAAGAAGAGGCCAAGAAGTTGGTGGAAGGCAGGGAAACCCATGGATGGGATGGGGTTCAGATGGATTCAGATGAGATTCGAGAAGAGCCTTGGGCCTTGGGATGGATTCGGAGGGATTGGAGGGCCATGGAGGGCAGAAGTGGAAGTGGGAGACTGGGAGCCTCTTTGTAAAACGTTGGCTGGTATGGGGCCATTGTTGGTTTCCATGATCGGCGTCCTAGAGAGAGGGTGCATAGGATCGGGTGAGATGGATTGCATTGGATTGCTTTGGGTTTTGGTTACCCTAGGGCTCCAAGTACCTTCTAAGAAGGTGTTTGGGGTGGGTTTAGAGGGTCCAAATACCTTCTGAGGAGGTACTTGGAGCCCTAGGGTTACATATCTCTCCATAAGCCCGCAAGCTTGTTCATCCCACTTCGCCGGAACCAGACCCAAGGGGACCGGTCTCTTCGGGACCACCACCACCTGTGGAAAGAAGATGGAAAAGCACCACTGCCCTATACAGAAAATCCATGATCTTTGTCAGAGGAATTGTCAGAGTAGGGAGATGAAAAACCGACCTTGGTCCACCATTCCCTGAAAATGTGGGGGTTTGGCTGGGTGGCGGTACATTCAGTCCAGTCCTTCTTGGCAAATCCCAGTCTCCAGCGCTTCGAACTTCATGACGCCAGACGAGATCCGATCGCCTCATCGCCCCACAGCGAGCACCTCCGATGCGATCGCGCTCCTTCCTTCCTTCGGAGCGCCATCGAGTTCCATCAAGTGCCACTCAGGTGGTGATTGCTTGATCGATGCATTCAGTCGTTTGACAGATTGCCAATGCCGGCAGCTGTAAAAGCGGATTTCATCTCCGACGGAGCTGGAAGGGAGATTCCCTCAGACGGACTCGTGTTTGAATATGATTATGGTTGAATTCACTAGATGTATTTGTTGGGGCAACCCATCCTGCCTTGAAGATGCCTGACAAGTTTTTTTTTTTTTTTTTCGATAAATATATTTTGTGCATGTTGTTTGTATATGTTTGCTTTTAGTGTCGCAGAGTTAGCTGTCTTGACTTTTGCAATCTATACTTAAAAATATTGGTGTTGTTAAGAGGCGCATTTGTCATGACTCAACGGACGTTGACGAGAAAGAAGGATGTTTTTACCAAAGCTCACACGTTTTATTGATTGTCCAATCCAGGCTCTGAACACATTGACGTGCATTCTTGGATGACGCACATGCTACTGCCATCACATGGTTGTTTTTAAACACGTGTCAGACGACGAGGATCATCATCGTGGTCTCAAGGTGCACCACCTAGGTCCACACCATCAATTTGTTCCTGATCTTCAAAGAAGTGAGCCTTCATTCACCTTATCATCAACCCTGTTTGATTGTCATGTCTTCTTCTTCAGTTCAGTTTGAGTTCGCGCTCAACAACTCAGCACGTTCGCGTCCAACGGTGCCGGTTGCTGGCCCGGCCGCGGTGGAAACCGTTGAACGAGTGGTTTGGAAGCGACGGGGCGCCATGGTCCATGCGGAAGGCACCGGTGCGGTGGAGAAAAGATTAACATCCTGGTGGTTCAGAATGGTTGTTCTACCTAATAGATCCTAATAGCATGGAGTGTGAGATCTTAAATTCTGCCAATGGAACATTTTGCCAATCAAGAGGTCAGATTGGTTCCAGGTATCAAGAGTAGTTTTCTGCTCAAGTTTATGTTTGTTTAAAGTATTGCCCGACAACACCAGTTGCGAGTTGCTGCACGAAAATTAATGTTTGTAGGCACAGGGTCCAACGTTCCGGCAGGTGAGGCGTTTGCCACTGGCCCAGCAGAGCTGGCAGGATGCAGTGTTTTGGTTGCGAAAGTGGTCGCGAGATGTCAGAACGGTCATGTTGCAACAGATTGTAGAGCCACACTTGGAGCAGTTAGGAGTAGAAAAAGGTGGAGTATGGGTTTGGGGGGCGTACTGTTGTATAGTTTGTAGTTTGATTGTGACATTTAGACTTTGCATGTTTCACCGACTCTTTTGGTTGTTGTTTGGTTCCCAAACATGGTCATCCAGTTTCGTTGGATTTTGCCGCCAGTGCCAGTTTCGTTGGAAACAAGCATGGGTCGATGTAGGGGGGCACAGGAATCGGAGAAACCGGACCTCAAAGAAGGCCATGTTGTTCGACATATTTCGACATGTTTTGATATAGAAATTGCAGAAAGCGGTGTCTATGCTTCAGACCCATCAATCCAAGTTTTTCTGGAAGTTTCTGGATGTGTTGATTGAGAATGAAGACCTAGAATATCAGATCCAAGCACAACAAGTGGACTGGTTCCAAACCATGACCATATCATGATAAGACCATTATACTACCGGCTAAGCACATAGGAGTTAGGGCTGCTAGTGTCTTGAGACTTATCCCAGGTTAAGTGTATCCTGAAGTTCCTGAAGAATTGAAAAACATGGCATGCATATGAGATAGGACTTAACCCGCCAAAGTTTGACGTAATTCGATGCACTCCCACTTCAGTTAAGAAAGGATGATGAAGGATGCCTGCCTTTGTCTTTCTCCCGTGTAACCGGTGCCACATGACACAGGATTGTCTTTGATTCCCAAGCCATTTGGTCGGTTATAGATCTTCCCTGACTTTAGGTGGCAGGTATAGACGGCTCTTAGCTACCTTTAAGCGGCAGGTATAGACGGCTCTTAGCTACCCTGGTTGGCCATTCCCAGGATGCACTTTTGTAACTCCTATGTGATCAGCCGGTAGTATATTGGTTTTCAGAATAGATGGCACAATCCCCCAAAGGGTTTGTATTTTGTTTGTGTGTGTGGATCCCCATCTAAAGGACATCTTCAGGTTTTTGCCATCAGCCATCTAAACCACATATAATTTGAGAACCAAGACAACATGTACTTCGTTCGATTCCAACATGGAGAGGCCTGGAATCCGTGGAGCTCCTTGGTCCATGGAGCTCTGAAGATCTGAGCCATCCCTTCACCCTCACCCGCGGCACGACATCGCATGGCCGGCGTTGGACTCCAACGCCCCCCACCCTGCCGACGCCTAAGGTGGCTTTCTTGGAGCTCCAAGGTCGCCGGAAACAGCTGCCCAGCCTGGCGACGTACACCTCGGTGATGTCTGCTTGCACCCGGCAATCCCAATGGCAGCTGTCCATCACTGTGATCGACCGCCTCAGAGGTGTGAAGAGTCGACCCGAGAAGACTCGGCTGCGGGCTGGAGACCAACCTTTTCGAGGTGGTGCTTTGATAGGCTTAAGAAGTGAATAGGAATAACATGAAGCCCAATCCATCCATGAAGATCATGAAGTGCTGAGGCTTGCATCATCACTATTCGAGCTACACACCAAGTTGCTTCCATGCCGTTGGATCCGGTGGTCTTCCGAGCCGCCTGCCCCGCCTGGTTCAAGGGAGTCTCGCAGGTCAGCAGCTGCGTCCAGATTTGGTGGCGCAGAATGCCGAGTTGCTTGGACGTTTGTTGAAGAGCTAGTGACTAGTGGTGGATTGGATTGGATTTTGTTTGGCTTTACTTGTTTGGCCTTCCCAAAAAAACCATGTTTTTTGACGTGTTGTTTGCTTCAACCGTCGATTCGCAGTCTGCGAGGTTATGGGCCTTCGCCAAAGGTCTCCAGTGGCCGTTGGTGCTCCAAGGGCTGCAGAGGCGAGCGGTGCGATGCCGATGGGACACACCTTCAACGGCCCAAAGACACGGCACGCGCCGAAACGGACGCCGAAACGGCACTGGTTCGAACGACGAAAGCGGTTTCGGTGGTGGTGCTTGAAGGCCTGGACCGAAAGACCTGGCGAGTTCCGAAAGCCCGGTTTTCGAATCACTACACTACACTGAAATCATGACGACGTGGGATGGCACCAGCTGTTTTGGTAGGGGAACATCGTAATTCCAAGGGGTTTTAGTGGCATCCACTTTCATGGTTATCTCATGAAGGGAGTGTAGTATTGACATGGCAATTGCGGGACATGAAAACATGCCAGAGTCTCAGCCTGTTGGACCAACCAGAACGGGCCGGTGAATGAGAAAGCAGCAGTGATGGTGATGACAAGCCATTACAATAAACTTGAGTGCATACCGCAACTTCTGAAGAATCCATTGAATGCCAACCTCATCAGCTACAGTAACGACCAACCGCGATGTGTCAGAACTCGAGGATGTTGCGATGTGTGAAAAAGGTGCGCAAGGCCGCACGGCCTTCCGTACCCAGCAAGTGTTCAGTTCAACGATGACCCAACAACCGGGTCGGCCATGGAATCTATGGACTGTGGATTAACGATGCCCTATGGATTTGCCCTGTGAAGGCACGTGAACGATGGCACCACACCTGGGATGTAGGTTGATGTAAGTTCACAGTGGTTGGGCAGTACACTGGGCCCAAATCCAATTGGTTCAACCCTGGAGTTGTGGATGTCCTCATTTTCCAACGAAGGGCTTCAGTCGAACGCGCAGAGGCTAAGCACTGCGGCTTGCAGCTCTTCCTTTGGAGTCTCTCGTCCGTCGAGCAGAGCGTTGGGCGAAGCTCCTTGAATTCCGTGAAGGATCCGGTCCACCGTGATTGAACCGCTCCTAGTCCAGTGTACAACACCGTGAGCATTTTTTTTCTGGTGCATAAACACAAGGTAGCCCGATGTGTCATGATGTGTCTAGTTTTGTTGATCTAAATAATAAGCTGCATGGGATGCGGTCATAAGTGCTTGGTGTTCATACACTTCATGAGGGAGAGCAGGTGACCGGCAGAAAGAGATGCAATACAATGAACGATAGTGATAGTAACCATGCCAACAATGGCGTTGCATTCCGTTGCATCCTTGTCCTCAGTCCTAACTAACCGATTCACGATGGGACCTTCCAAGCAAGACCTGACGACATTGAGTGTCAGTTTCTAACATGTTCAAACCAAACATGGCCAGATGATGGGAATACATACTGCAAAATGAATGTATACTGGCCTTGCTGTTTGCAACCGCATTTGCTCCAGGCATTGATCGACCTCTTCGCCAAAGGCAGCCAATGGCAGCGGGCCCTCAACCTGTTCCAGACGCAGAAGGGATTGTTCCTCGTCCATGAACTGCAACAAAGGGGTGGCAGATCCCAGAATCTGCCAGTATTTCCTTACGCAGTCTGCGTTCATCCATGAAGCCCAGGTTTGGGGACACCTCCGCCATGGAAAGGTGGTGATTTTGTTGTGCCTGTCGGTAACCAAAAGTCCAAAGTGGTGTTTGTTTTCCTGCCTCAGAAACACCCCCGCTGACACCCCGACCTTGAAACAAGCTGTGTTACTTCTTGCAAGAGGATCTGGAATCAGGCAAGAGGAAAGCTGTTGTTCTTGGGAAAGTTTTTTTGCTGCTTCTGTCAGAAATGAGGCAAGAGGATCTTGTCACCTTCAACTTGCTACTGAACGCCTGTGAGTCTCGGCTGAAGCTGCAAGGTTCCTGCAGAAGCCTGTCGGAAAGGTCGTTTCATGTCATTTCAAGATGCTTCAATTGGTTTTCACCAACAAACTCAACAGTGGAAGGGGGAATCAAGATGCCTTTTTGGGTGGTGGGTTTGTTTGATGCTGTTCATCGTTGTGTTGTGTGTATACTGTATATCTCATTATATAATAAGTATAGCTGTTGTATGCTTTTGTAATTGGATAGTGATTGATCCTTAAGGGGATTTGGCGGAGTCATCATGTTCCATTAACATTATAACATTAAATAATGAGTCCAAACCTCCAAACATCCTACCGGATGCTTCAAAAACAGAGATCATGGGGGTCTTCCCCGAGGCATGTGGCCGGGCTGGTCAATGATTGGGGTACCAGTTCCACCCATGCATGGCGGGTTCCGCGATGTTCTTCGGACCGAACCCCTGAAAGGCCGGAATGGGTTCCATGGCTTGTGGTTTCGACCCTGGGATTCTGCAGGTCGAACGTCAAGGGACTGACGAAGTGACAAAGAAAAGGGTAGTGTATTAATATAGCTCCAGCGCCAGGCCAGACATTGCCCAGATCCATGTCCTTCAGAAGCTGACAAGTCCGGTCATTGGAGCTTTGTCGTTGTGAATTCTGTGGGGTGTTTGAGATAGCGGGACCATGCCTTGGATAAGACTTGAGATGAGGATTCCATGCAAACCCGCAACCATCGTCCAATTCTTGCAAATGTCTGGTAGGTTGAGCCTCTTTGGCAACGAGACGCCTTGTCAAACAGCTGAGGAGAAGTCCTCCAACTGGACCATAGCCCTGTCGCTTTTGGAGGAAATGCCAAGGCGCTGTGTCAGGAGTTTTGAAAAGAGGGATGTCAGCCCACATGCCAATCTCGCACATCCAAAACGCCTCAGTCACCAGTTCAGCACCCCGAAAACACACCTCTGATCCACCCATCCACCTCTATCATACTCTATCCATCTCTTTTTGCCGTCTTTTTCATCTTTCCCAGACACGACCAATGGGGACTGGCATATTTACCTCTCTACATTGAGGGTGGTTGATTTTAGGGGTCCATGGGTCGTTGGAATAAAACACCAGGCGCCTGGTGCGGCCGGACGTCATCAGCCTGAACACCACCTTGAGCTCGTTGGCCGCCGTGGCCCAGTGGCGCCGCGCGCTGCACCTGTGGGCGACCCGGCGCGGGGCGAGCGACGAGCGAATCCAGCCGCGGCTCGGTGGTGTGGTGAGAGGCTGGAGAGATGAGGGGGGCATTGGAAGCACTCTGCTTGGGACATGGATTCATGGATTGGGGGCCCTTGGGGGCCCCCCCTTTAGCCAGAGTCGTTGTGGATCTGGGTGTGGACATGGATTCATGGATTGGGACTGGATGGTGGTTGGCATCTTTTGCGGGACTGAACTCTTGGGCCTTTGGAGAACTAAGAGGTATGGGCAGATGACTTGGCAATGCTGCAAGAAATCAAGAAGCAAAAGGCTGCAAATTTCTCGGTGGCGATCATGCTTTGCTGCATGGGTCAAATAGGCCAAATGGGTCTTCGGAAAAGTAGCGGTCTCGTCAAGTCTCGTCTTCGCCCTGGCTGGAGAGGGCCGGAGCGAATGTTTTTCACCTCTTGGGACCATGACGGACCATGAGCGTCCGACTTCGGTCGACGTACTGTGACCGACGGGCTCCCATGACGTACTGACATCCATCCACATCCACATCGGTCGGTCTGACGGGTTTTAACCTCCTAAATACAATATTATGAGACGATGGGATGGTGCTTGAATGCCACCATTCTCCGACCTGCTCGCCCCAATGATCCCAACATCCAAGACACCATGATCTTTGGAGCAAGAGCATGCTGTGTGGGGGTTGACGGTGTGATAGACATCCCCGTCTCATCTCAGGACCGTGATCACCATGAACTCTTTAATGATCGCCTGCAGCGCCGCCTTTCATTGGGAACAAGCCATCCACCTTTGGCAAGGCGTGGCGCAAAGCGGCGCGCGCGCCAGGTGTGCCGTGTGACCAGGTGACCTGTTTGATGGACAGTGGAGAGACACAGAGGATCATGGCACTGGAAACAGGGCTGTAACATCAAGCATCACAGGACGGTTTCTTGGTGTTGTTTTGAACGGTATTCAATGGGTCAAGGTTCTCATTTCGGGGCTCCCACACGCACGACATAGCCCCTTTTCGTCAGCTGTTGCTATTCCAAGGGCTCGTTCTTCTACGGATCTTTGTTTTCAAAATGGACCGAGTGGTTGAAACATGTTGAAATCCTAAGGTCCAAAGCCGGGGCTTTGAAACCCTAAGGTTTTTAGGGGTTAGGGTTTATAGTATAGGTCATTGTCAGACGACTAGTAGTGATTTCAGAGGTTCGATGGCACCCCAAGATGTCTTTGCGAATGGAACACTCCACCATAGCACCACCCAACTTGGACATTGGTGCCATCTCTCAATCCCAACCGCTGAATGTTCCCAGACATCGGACAAAGACGGTATTCTTTCTCGGAGCGAAAAACAAAAAGCGTTTTCAAAAAAACTAAGTGGTCCAGATGTGAAATGGGGTCAGCTTGGTGGCTTGGAACATCCCCTCCTTCCGGGCTTTCTGGCGAACTCGGTCGAGGTCTCACCCCATACGTCGGGACGTCCGAAGCGACCTACGGCGTGTTGATGGAGACGCTGGGAGCTCCAGGCGGGGTAACAGCTGTGAAGAACCGTGGCCATTGGCCATTTGGAAAGGACCTCCATTCTGGCAGGAAGGTTGGAACAGCTGGAAAAAACACTGCGCAAGAATGCGCAAGACACCATGTTCTAGCATGATCATATACTATACCTAGCAATACCTAGCATAAGTGTTTCGTGTGTTGAGAGAGGCCAGCCTGGGCAAGTTTTGCAAGGTAAAACCACCTGTGGCTCATTGAGGCCTTGTAGGGAATTGCTCTTGGGATGAACATCCTACAAATTGTCATTGTGTATGTGTGTGTGTGTTTGGGCAGTCAGGATCCCAACTACTAATTATATACTATTGATTAATTACTAGGTTTGATGTGTGTGTGTGTGTTTTTAAGCATGTTGAACATGTGGTGCTTTGGAAGTAGGGCACGCCTTGAAACAGACATTTGTCTACTACACCGGGGGTCCGCCGTTTTCATTTCAAAAGATGGTGACACGTCGCGTCGAAGTCGCGGAACGAACTGCTTTCCGCGCTGCGACGCGCGAGGATGTGACTGGTGTCACTCGGTGAGTCTCCTGGAAAGTAGCAACTCGGAAGCCAATTGACGAAGAAAGGATGAAACATGGATATGGGTGTGTATTTGAAAAAAAGGAGCCCCCAACCAAAGGGTTTTGGTCTAATTATGTCCTTTCTTCTATTGGGTCTTTGGGAGGTCCCCCTATTTTAAGACACACCCATATGTGAACCCAAGAAGAGAAAAGGAGCAACCCAGATCTTTATTAATCGTCTCAAGGCAGTGGGGGAAGCTTTTGGGTGGAATCAGGTGGCCTTGAAGTAGAACTTTGGTCTTGCGGCTTGCGGTGACATCCCCTAGATTTTGCTGACATGCAATCCCCTGAAACCTTTATTGTACTTGTACTTTTACAGACATGTACGTATTTGCCTTAGCCTCCAACTAGTTGGAATATGTTTGAATCGAATGTGTGGTGTAGGTGGTTCGAAGGTGATTCTGGGTTTGCTGCTTCAAATCTGCAAGCTACTGCAGCTGCTAGATCATCAGGCCTATCAACTCCCCATGCGAGCCACAATCACAATCTTCCATCACCATCCAATCGAGTGAGAACATTTCACCAGCTCATTGAGAATCCAGTATAGTGAGAAACCACCATCCATTGAATTCCAGATGTCAGTGAGAATTCATATCACCATAGTCTAAACAACCAAATCCCAGATTTCTTCCAAGGTTTGCGACAGTCCTTGTGCAACGTCGTGACCTTTACTTCTGTGCTCAAGATCCTGTCGACTGCGATGCTCGACGGCAGCTGGAGAACGTCGATCCCTTTGGTTTGAGGCCTTTGCAAAGGTCGGGGTCCAAACCATATCCCAGACGCGACGAATGGCACTGGAAGGACTGAAATCCGATCAGGCCAGGGGTGGGCCAGGCTCGGGGGTCAATGTTTGTAGGCAGTCCGGACTGCCAGTCCCAGACTGGTCGTGTCTGGGATACGAGTCCCAATGGGTCTGGGAACCAGGATGCACCAGGGGTTTCGTGTCGACTTTGAGTCTGGCGGTAGCAGGATCAAACATGTCCGCCACAAACGTCTAGACGTCTTCCTCGGTGGAGACATGTGGGTGTCCTCCCCGCCAAACTAAGAACAGGTTGGATAAAGTGTGATACTGTAGATTTTGTAAGTAGCATGGAAGTACATGTTTCCAGGTAAACGGCTTCAAGCAAGAAGTCGAAGAGTTAGACCCTTCACCTCCCTTCGCTTCTTCGCATGGTCGCTTGCCTAGGAGGCGTTGGCAGCAAGCACTCGCTCTCTTCCAGCAGATGATCCAGCGAGAGGTTCGGATGGCCAGCCCACGCGAAAAAGACCCGGAAGACTTGGTATGAGGCGAAGGGATGCAAAGCACGTTTTTTTAGGGAACCCCTATTTTTCGGATATTTGTTCAATTTTTTCTTTTTTTTCACATTGTTTTCCCTACTGCTTTTGCTTTTTGCTTCTGCTTTTGCTTTTGCCCTTTGCTTCTGCTTCTGCTTTTGCTTTTTGCTTCTGCATTTGCTTTTGCTTTTCCTTCTACATTTGCTTTTTGCTGCTGCTTCTGCTTTTGCTTTTTGCTTCTACTTTTGCTTCTGCTTTTGCTTTTGCCCTTTGCTGTTGCTTTTTGCTTTTTGCTTTTGCTTCTGCATCTGCTTTTGCATCTGCTTTTGCGTTTGCATTTGCCTTTTGCTTCTGCTTCGGCTTTTGCATGCTGCTTTTGCAATTAGAGCCTGTGCTGCTGCAAGTGGCCAGCTTCCACAGCTGTGCTGCCTGCAGTGGCCAGGGTCTAACGAGGGTGTGTTGCTGCAAGCGGCGAGCTTCCCACTCCTACGCTGGTTGCAGTCAAGGCCCTGTGCTGCTGCAAGTGGCCAGCGTAGGAGTGGGAAGCTGACCGCTTTTGACTCACCCTTTTGTGGGCCATGCAGGGGTAAAATTTAGAGAAGG